ATAAGCTGCATGGACTCGCTGTCTTCCAGACAGTTCGAGATAACCTTGAGAGCCCCCTCATGCAGGTCACTAAACTCCTGTAGGGAGGAGACACAGCTGCCATTACTGCTCAATCATGTGTTGCTTGATTTTCATTGAATTGTTCTCAACTTTTATATAGAAAGTTTGATTGCTCATAATAAAGGTGACTAAGGAGCAGTTTCAAAAAGTGCTCATGAATAATTCAGATGAGATTAATTAGTCTACTTTGGTCCCGAGGATCTCCAGGATTCTGTCAAAGCCCTGTACATTCCTAAAGGCCACGCGGGTTTCACTGTCAGTGGTGATGTTCTCTATGGTGCGCAGTGCAAGTTGCTGAATAACTGGGAACTCTGAGCGTAGCAGTTCCAGAAGCGGGGGGAGTCCATTTAGTTGCTGCACGACCGCTCGATTCTGAAAATCCTGAGTGTGCACAAAGAAGAAAAGAGCACAAATAATTGATTTTAACTGCATCCTTCTGCTATTCAAAGAGTTATGCTTTTAAAGCCGATCGAATATCTATGGCATCGTTCAAAATACTAATCATTTCAAATTCAATTTTCGTCTAACAATTGTGTTTTGTTAGTGCTGTAAAATACCACCCTGACCGATGACTTTTAGTCTAATTCACAACAGACCTTCTGTCTGACTCGGACATCTGTTGTCTTACTTGTACAAGATTAAAGATGCACTCCACTGAATTTTTCTTCACATCAGGATCCGGGCTGGACAAGAGCTGAATAAGAGGTTCAAACCCCTTGTGCTCAAAAATCTGGACCTTGTAGCAAAAGTCCACTGACAATGATGTCAAACACAAAGTGGCAAACTCGTGGACCACAACATTCTCTGAGGAAAAGAAAGTGGCAGGTAAGGTTTGTGCAAAAGAAATAAAAAAGAAATAAAAAAAATATTAATAATTATATATGTAAACATAAAAATAAAAAATATATATATTTAAATAATAATATATGTGTGTGTGTGTGTGTGTAAGCTTTTTAATGTTTTTTAATGCTCATCAAGGCTGCCTTTATTTGATCAAAAATACAGTGAAAGCAGAAATATTGTAAAATATTATTACAATTTAAAAAAGGTGACTAAGGAGCAGTTTCAAAAAGTGCTCATGAATAATTCAGATGAGATTAATTAGTCTACTTTGGTCCCGAGGATCTCCAGGATTCTGTCAAAGCCCTGTACATTCCTAAAGGCCACGCGGGTTTCACTGTCAGTGGTGATGTTCTCTATGGTGCGCAGTGCAAGTTGCTGAATAACTGGGAACTCTGAGCGTAGCAGTTCCAGAAGCGGGGGGAGTCCATTTAGTTGCTGCACGACCGCTCGATTCTGAAAATCCTGAGTGTGCACAAAGAAGAAAAGAGCACAAATAATTGATTTTAACTGCATCCTTCTGCTATTCAAAGAGTTATGCTTTTAAAGCCGATCGAATATCTATGGCATCGTTCAAAATACTAATCATTTCAAATTCAATTTTCGTCTAACAATTGTGTTTTGTTAGTGCTGTAAAATACCACCCTGACCGATGACTTTTAGTCTAATTCACAACAGACCTTCTGTCTGACTCGGACATCTGTTGTCTTACTTGTACAAGATTAAAGATGCACTCCACTGAATTTTTCTTCACATCAGGATCCGGGCTGGACAAGAGCTGAATAAGAGGTTCAAACCCCTTGTGCTCAAAAATCTGGACCTTGTAGCAAAAGTCCACTGACAATGATGTCAAACACAAAGTGGCAAACTCGTGGACCACAACATTCTCTGAGGAAAAGAAAGTGGCAGGTAAGGTTTGTGCAAAAGAAATAAAAAAGAAATAAAAAAAATATATATTTAAATAATAATATATGTGTGTGTGTGTGTAAGCTTTTTAATGTTTTTTAATGCTCATCAAGGCTGCCTTTATTTGATCAAAAATACAGTGAAAGCAGAAATATTGTAAAATATTATTACAATTTAAAAAAAGGTTTTCTGTTTAATGTACTTTAAAATATATTTTATTCCCTTGGTGGCAAAGCTGAATTTTCTCAGTCTTTAGTGTCACATGATCCTTATAGATTTTTTTTCTTTTATCAATGCTGAGAACAGCTGTGCTGCTTAATTGTTCTTTTCTTTTTTTTTGGAACCTTTGATATTTTTTTCGGGATTCTTTGATGAATAAAAATATTTAAAAAAAAATAACAGGATTTATTCAAAATATAATTTTTTGTAACAATATACACTAAAGTTCAAACGTTTGTAGTCTGTATTTTTTTGTTCTTTTTTAAAAAGAAATGAATACTGTTATTCTGCAAGGATATGTCAAATTAATAAAAAGGGACAGTAAAGACTTATTGTTACAAAAGATCTCTCTCTCTCTCTCTATCTATATATGTGTGGGTGTGTACTAAAATTGAAAATGAAATGATAAAATGTGCCATTACCCTCAGGTGATAGCTTGCTGATGACTGCAGGTATTACATCCAGCTTCTTCAAACACTTTTTAACGTCATCTGTTTAAATATGACAGCTAAAATGAAAACTATGTTGCCGAACATCCTTTGATTTACTAGCAGTGCCTATTTTTATACCCTACTTACTGTTAGAAGCCATGACGCCCAGAGCCATGACAGCATTCCTGCGCACAGTCTTGTCCTCGTGAGATATGAGACGAGAAAGAGGTTCAATCGCTCCCAAGCACATCAAAGAAGTCTTATTCTCATCACCTAAAAATATCAACACAACAGCAAAACACACAGGGATCGATCAAGGAGAGCCACACATGGGACTATAGTGAGCACTTACCTCTGCAAAATTCTCAGTGACCTTAAGATGATGACTATAATATTAGATGACACTCACCTTTTTCTGCGAATTTGTGGATGGCCTCACAAGCTTTTGCCAGCACCTCTTCTTCAGGAGAGCTGAGCATAAGAACCGCCGTCGCTGCTGTTTTGCTCTCGATAGGTAAAGGGTCGAACTGAAAGAATAAGACGTGTTGTTAATTAAACGTTTTTCATTAAAGTTATTAAAAGGCCGCGAAATATTTCAGGAGAGCCCGGCAAAATCACACGAGTGGAGAAAAATGTTCTCACCACATCTTTCGAGAATGGCTCTGCCTCTTTTTTTACTTTTTTCCCCATCTAGAGATCAAATACTTCACGGGCCTAAATAAAAGAACAGTATTTAAAAACGAGTACAGAACACCGTTCAACAAGATAAATAATTTATATCTTAATAAATGATTTCTACAAAACATAATAATAAGCAACTTCTACAAAACATAAAAATACCAGCAACGCTGAAAGCTGTGTTTGGGTTTCTGTTTAGCTTGCTGCTGTTGCTAGGTGACAGATGTAACTTACCATTTCACCTGTAGGTGGGGCAAGAATCCCTCCCAAACATATTTGGTCATTTATTTATTTATTTAAAATGTGTCGGTCATTAACCGTTAGGTGGCTCTGACGTAATAATTTATTAGATTATACACAAAAGGATTCAATAAATCATCAGAAGAACATCTGAAAAATTGAGAAATTCTGAAATAACAGAAGCTGGTAACACTTTATTTTAAGGTGTCCTTGTTACACGTTACATGTACTTACTATTATAATAACAATAAAATATGCACAATTACATGCACGTAACCCTAAAACAAACCCTAATCCTAACCATATAGCAAATATGTAGTTCATTAATATTACTCAGTACTTAAATGTATAATTACACTGTAACAAGGACACCTTAAAATAAAGCGCAACCCAGAAGCTTTCCCAGTATTTAACTAACACCAACAGCAGAAGCCTAGTAATGCCACCCCCATAAAACATGAAATATCCACTGAAACGTGAATTAGGCTATGTGACGATCAGTCAAATAAATGTCTTATTAGTTGTTCTAAAAGTTTTGGATTGGATTTATCTATTTTGGAAATTATTTTCCGAAAGCACTATTCATTTCATAAATGCATATTTATATAATTATATTTTAATACAATTTTCTTTAATACATTAAGCTAGAACATGTCATTAGTGTTGCAGATCTAGAGTCTAGAGTCTATACTGTTGACAAAGTTGGG